TGCTGACGGTTTGTGGAGGAAAGTATGGCTTCTGACAAAAGTCAAGTGGTACTATGGAGGGAGTGCCCCAAAGAAGAAAAGATGGTGAGGTGGCAATTAGGGGCATACATGGAGGAAGGAGAGAGACTGATGAGGAAAGGGGAAAAATGGGAAACGAAACATGTGAGATACAAGTGACCAAAACTGGGCCAATTGGCTTGCAAGAGGAAAGACAGCGGGGAAATAGAAAGAAAGAGTCGGTGGAAGCTCAAAAGTCAAGAGCCTAGGGTGGGAAGGAGGGGGAGAGGAAACAAGCGGTAGCAAGTAACAGTCAGGTAAATAAAGAAAGTGGGACCCACCATTTTAAACAAAAAAGTTTTAATTTTAAGAAGGTTAACCGAAGTAAAAGATCCAAAAGGTGAAGGGGCATTTTTGGAAAAGGATTATAATCGATAAAATTTGGGTTTGACCCTTCGAGGTCCAAACAATTAATGACCAATAGGAACCAAAACGACGATGAATGGATTCCGATGGTGACAAAATTTGAGAATGGAAGGAAGATTAATGTTCAAGAAGAGCTGTAGGAGAAGGAGACACAGACGAATTCAACCCAGAAGGAGAAGCAACAATGTTCCAAAAAGAGTGAGTCGGAAGAGGATCAATTTCTAAACATGCAAAGCATTGCAGACTTAACCCCATCTGGAATTGTGTCCGCTTAGAAGAATGCATATGAATTGTCTCAGAGGGTGAACAATGGGAAGGAAGAAGGAATTTCAAGGAATCATCATAGAAAGAAGAGACATATTGAGCGGTATTTAAGAGATTTCTGACTCGCCAGAGGGGGAAATCATTGAAGGATCAATACTCGACTAAATAGTGAGGTATGCCCAGCTTCTTGTTCCCCTTCTTCCCGGTCTTCTCCTCTTCCTTCACCTTCTCGAATGGATGGGGGAGTTTTCATTAGTGAGGGAGATATTGTGGAAGATGGGCATAGAGATTTATAGGGGAAGAGAACTTGTTTAAAGAGGAAAATTTTGGGAAGGTGTAGAACAGAGTCTACAATAGGAGGAGGACGGGAGGGATGGAGAAGGAAGATCTAAAGAAGGGGGAGGAGAGAGTTACAAAGAGAGGAAAAGGGTGGATATAGACACTCTGGTTGAAAGACAAGTGGAAGTTGGGAAATCACTGGGACTGTTCCTTTTTTTTTTTTTTTGGGGGGGGGGGGGTGCAGTGAAAAAAGCGATTGAATAAATTAAGAGGAACAAAAGGGAAGAATATAGTGAAAGAAAAGCAATAGGGGAAGGGGGAGAGAACTGGAAAGAAGGAGAAGGGGAGGAGGAATTATTGACGAAGAATAGAGGGGGACGAGTAGCAAAAAGAAAGGGAGGGGGCGGAGGCAGAGTCTAAAGTTGAAGTTGGTGTCATGGAATGTGAGGGGCTTTAGAGAAGAAAGAAGGATTTTAATGAGGAATGGTCCAAGAAAAAACATCCCAGATGTAGCGGTGCTACAAGAGACAATGATGGAGTCATTCTTCTTGAGAATGAAAATTGAAGTTTAGGGATCTATCAGTAGGGTATGGGTGGAGGTGAATGTTGTGGGTCTATTTGAGGGTCTAGTAGTTATCTAGAATCCAAGGGTTTCCTTTTGCAATATGTCGAGATTCTTGGCAGGACAGAGATAAAAGAATTTTTCAAGTCAAAACTTGGCCAATGATCAACAGAACTGTTGCAGATTGGTTGTTGGTTCTTCCAGAAGTTAGATAAGTCACCAAGGAGGATATTGGGATATTCTTAGGGAAATTTTGGGGTTTCAATCAAGGTTTTAAAAACCGACCCGGAAATGGAACCGCTTTGGCCACCAATTTCCAGGTCGGGAATTCAACCGTTCGGGTCAAGCGGTCCAAACGTTTCAATTATATATCTCATCCTACCCTTGGATTGGAATATTAAGGTAGGACGGGGTATAAATGTTATGAGAAAGGAGCATGAGAACGAGAGTGAAAGGAGGGTCTGTGATGTCTGGGCTGTAGCGGCGATGGCAACATGCAGCGGCGACACATGAGAACGAGATTACATATGCGACACATCACATATGTAATTTGAGATCTCTCTCATCTCTCATCTCTCATCTCTCTCTCGATCTCATATCTGAGATCAATCTTGTTTCTCTCTGTTTTTCTTTGTTTTTTGTTTTATTTTTTTTGAAAATTTTAAATAAAACATATTGGACCACAAACTGTTTCCCGGCCGAACGGTTCAACGGTCAGACCGTTCGGATCAACGGTTTGTTGACCAATTCAACGGTTATTAATAAGATAACAGTTCAGCACTAAAACGAAACCGATACCTTGACCGGTTTCCAATCCAAACGGTCCGACCGTCTGGATCAATGGCGGTTCGAAAACACTGGTTTCAATTGTGTAATTTGGAAAATTTTGTTTGCCTAGTTTAGCAAGTTTTGTTTGTTTGCATATGGTGATTCATTATCACCTATTAGGATGTATCTCTTTTTCTTTTAATGAAATTTATTTTTACCATAAAAAAACACTCCACTCCATACAACATAGATGGCCTTACAACTATTTTATAGAATTTTCCTTTCAATCTAAGTGGTATTCGCCTATCACATAAAAGTCTAGATGCACCCCTCCATTTTGCCCATCATGTTCTAGTTCTTTGTGTGACATCCTCCTCAATCTCTCCTTTGTTATGAATTATTGCACCAAGGTACCAAAAATGGTCACATTGAGTTATCTCTTGGTCTCCAATCCTAAGTCTATATTGATTTACACTCCTATTATTACTAAATTTACATGTCATATACTCTATTTTAGTCTTACTTATTTCAAAGCCTTTTGTTTCTAAGGCATTTGTCCATAAGCTTAATTTTTCATTTAATCCTTCATTAGTTTCATCAATTAAAACAATGTCATCCACAAACAACATGCACCATGGAACTTCTTTCTTAATATGTTTAGTCAATTCATTTATGATCAATGCAAATAGATAATGGCTAAGTGCTAAACCTTGGTGAAGACCCATAATAACTGTAAAATCTGAAGTCTCTCCCATTGGTGTTCTAACATTTGTCGTTGCCCTCTTAAACATATCATTAATTAGGCCTATATACCTATTTTGATCACCTTTTTTTCCAAGATCCACCATATCTCTAGGAACTCTATCATATGCCTTCTCTAGATCAATGAACACCAATGAAGATATTTTTGTTGTCTTTGTACTTTTTTTTTTTTTTATGAATGGTTGTCTTTGTACTTTTCTATCATCTCAAAAGAAATATAGCTTCCATGGTTGATCTCCTTGGCATAAAGCCAAATCGGTTCTCTAATACACTTGTTTCAACTTTCAAGTCATAATCTTTGTTTGACTATTCTCTCCCAAAGTTTCATAGTGTGGTTCATAAGCTTAATCCCTTGATAGTTATTACAATTTTGTATATCACCCTTGTTCTTTTGCATTAGCTTGTATACAACCATACTTTCCTCTCTACCTATGACCATAACCACACCATTTACAACCAACTTTATGCTGCCTTGAGTCTATATCCCCACTTCATCAGTTTGATATTTTTTTTTGACAAGTAGTTTGATATTGAAGTTAGCCCTTCTACAGTGCTACTTATCACATGGTTCATGGTCACATTTCATGGGATACCACATTGCTTCCTCCAAAGCATTAAATCCTAGATATTATATTTAAACGCAACAAGTAAAAATTATCAGCAATCTTGGATAATTTTAGATAACAAGCTTTTAGTGATCATTAATCTCAAAACTTCTAACCAAATACCTTTAGCAAAACCACTACTTACAAGGTTATAACAGAAGCTACATCTTCTATAAACAAAAGATTTTTCAGTCCTCTCCATAACTGAAGTACAACCCCCTCTCAGGCCACTCAGGCCACACACACACACACACAAACAGGCTTCCATAAAGGTTTTTAATGGTAATGGAGAAGAGGAGCTTTCTTTGACCCAAATGAAGGCTCTTGTTACTTCCTACTCCAGGAACTAGCCTTGAAATGCAAATAAGAAGATTGGCACAGCATCAGCATAAGGTAAGTCATGGACCAGCTCTAGTATGGTGGTAAATATAATAGAAAAAAGCCATCTAACATTTTTTTTTCTAATATTCTTGGACTGACAGATCTGAGAATGTGGGTTTAACTCTGAAAGTTGCCACTTTGTGCAAGAAGAATCCAAAAGGTAAGGCCCATATCCAGTCCACCCCTCCCAATAACCCAGATAAAAGGTCGAATATTGGGTAATGACCCTTTTATTAATTCTTATGCTACAATTGTAAAAGGTGCACAGCAACATGGAATTGAAGATGGATAAAGGTTTCAACATACCCACAAATACATGGCGCCTTTCCTTGTTGACAAGTAGAGGACTATTTATTGGAGGTTCTTCAGCTCCTAAGATGTAATAACTTTAATTCATTTCAAAATCTAGGATATTCTCTTTAGCAACATGTATAAGAGAAACCAAGAATAATTTTTTTTGATAAGTAAAAATAAGTATTTGTTAAAGATCAAAGAGAATAGGCATTACAAGCATGCATCCCACAAAGAGGCACAAGATGCTACCTCTCACACAAACATCAAAAAATAGTATCAAGAATCAATTACAACTGAGCCCAATACAAACTGTCCCTATTTAACCCTTGTTTAGCCAACCCATCTGCCATAGCATTAGCTGTTCTCCTAACCCAAGAAATTTTCAAGTTCATGTTTCTAGTTCCTTTTTTTTTTACGAATGTTCATGTTTCTAGTTAGCTATTTAAATTTTTTTCATCTTAATCCTAAAGCACCAGGTTATAGACTCTGGATCCTTCAGCCAACCTATCACCAATTTTGAGTCCCCTTCAATCTCCATATTTATCAGGCCCATCTCACTTGCAATCTGTACCTCTCTCATAGCAGCAAAACAAGAACAATTTTGCACCATTTATAGTATTAAAATGAATAAGAAACCTACAAAATAACTGTGAAATGCTTACCGTTTGGCAGCAATAACATCAGCCTCATCAAAGAATATTATACTTGGTGCTGCAAGGCGAGCTCTCTGAAAAGTGTTACGCAACAAAGACTCTCCCTCTCCAACATACATTGAATACAATTCTGCACCACTGGAACATAGATTATGAAACTTCAAGAAGTGCATGTCTAAGGAACTGTATTCAAATTTCAAAGCAGCAAGGATTTGTACAATATAACTGTGTCATAATAAAGTAAAACGTAAAAGCAATAGGAAAGATTACTGTTAACTTCAGAGTCAATTGACAAAAAAAAATTAAGAAAATTGAGGCTCCATTTGGGAAGAGTGCAAATGCCGGTTCAGTGCATATATGCACTCTGGTTCAGTTTTGCTGGTGTTTGGTAAGAATACATTTATGTACTGACAATGACAACTTTCACAAATTTCAAGGCATGTTTGCATCCAAAAAATGGATGTAAACTTTGCACTCAAAGTTGATCAATGTTAAAAAGGTATATTTCAATCTCGGGATTCGTGTTTGCACCCATTACAACTAAAAATCGTGTGGCAAGAAAGTAAATTTATCAATGCAAAACTAAACCAACTTTGCATTTACATGGACCAGACCCTACATATTTGTATTTGCACTCTTCCCAAACGGAGCCTGAGTAATTCAATTTGTTAAAATTGTTGATCATTCAAAAAAATGTGGTAAGTATTAAAATATTATCCATTCTTAGATGCATAGTCAGTTTTGATTTCCTAATTAACACCTTTTCCCCTAAAAAATCTGCCTCTATATCCACCTCGCAACAACATAACTTTGGATAAGAGCCTAGAATACCTTCTGGAAAATATTGTAATACCTTGTCCAAGAGAAAACACACAAAGACAGATGTTAGATTGTAATATTCCACCATACAAGATGGTTCAAACTATGAGATCATCTTTTATGCCAAAAATAGATATGATTAGATCATGCCACCAAACTGATCCATTGAACTTTCCATGGTGTGACCTCCACTTTTTTTTTCTTACAATCACATGCAATTCAGAAGGTTAATACATTCTGACCAGGTTGGTTTTATGTTGTGCCCTCGAGCGTCAAGCCCAAGAAATCTTTGACCAGTATCAGAGTATCATATATAATTCCCAACTTTTTGCATGAGATTATATGTACAGGATACAAAAGATATGTTCCCTTGGAGGAAATCCATGTTGTCTTCCTTAAAGCTAACTTAAAATTTCGAATTCCCCAATAAATTTTCCAGTGGAATGAAAACATCTTTGTTGAAGAGGAAGAAAAATCATGAAACCTCAATGAGAAGAAGGAGGCTTGAGCAGCATGAGCTGCAGCTTTAGCAAGGGTAGTTTTTGAGCATCCTGGAGGTCCATGCAAAAGAACTCCACGAACAGGTGATATCCCCAGCCTTGCAAATGCAGCAGCATTCTTAATAGGCCACTCAACAGCCTGCTGGAGCTTTTTCTGTTCCATGCATTATGAATTGTTAAGTTCCAATCAAAACGTTGATAATCAGATAACATCAGTGAGTACAGACCTTCAAATCTTGTAATCCTCCAATATCTTCCCAGGTAACCTTGGGGATTTCCACAGTAACACCTCTTGTTATGCTTGGACCAACCACAGTTTTTGCATGCTTCCAATCATCCATTGTTAAGCTGCATAAACCACCATCTTTAGTTACATCTGATGATCTTCTTATTGCAGACATTGTAGCCTCTCGGCATAAAGCTTCTAAATCAGCCCCAACATATCCATTACAAGATGCAGATATAGCTCGTAAGTCAACAGTAGGATCCAGTGGGAGCTTCTTGGAATAGAGCTGAGACAAATTCAACATAAATACCATTATAACTCTACATGAAATTTCCCAATATAACATTCTAAGTAGACATCAGAGAAGAGAGAAGCATCCAAATGATATACAGTTAAGTTGATAGGACCAAGTGATTAGTAGAATCACTAAACTGCCCTCCCATAAGATTCATTTTGGAAATTTCAGAAGAATTTTGACCTGAAGAATTTGAAAGCGCTCCTCTTCAGTGGGTGTTGTAACTTCAATTTCAGCATCAAAGCGTCCTGACCTTCGTAATGCTGGATCTATTGCATCCACTCTTTATACATGCAGAGCAAAGATATTAATAAGATATCCAAATAGAAACTCTTGTTTTAATAGATCATCAAATGAATACATTTAAAACAAATTCCATAGAAAGATCAAGAGAAAATGTATTTAAGGAGTCACACCATTAGCACTATAAAGATTAACTGACTAATAAGACTGCAGATAAGGCTTTTAGAAATAATAGTTTCATTGACCTATAACATATTATCTTTCTAAGGAAAATGAATTATATGCAAACTTTAAAACAAAGAACTGGAAAAGGTCAGAAATGTGAGTATAAACAGCTCACAGCATCTTATAATCCATCAGATATTTAGGAATCTCCACATAAACATAGGAAGGACAATGTAAAGAGATCATTTCCCAGTGAATATTTTGGATATGATGATTAGCTACGATCTCACTGAGAATGGATGTATTATGTATTATATGCATGGCATAGTTCAAACATTCATCTTTGTCTATGTAACACGCATTGCCACTTGCCAATGACCCAGTAGTTGAGATGGTCACTCAGTGCCACTCCGAAAAAGGAGGTGCAAGATCAAGCTTGCAGAATTGCAAGCTTTCTGTGTTAGGCAAGTAGGCCTCACATGCACCCTGCTTTGTCCTCACCCGAGTTCCCTCTAATGTGTACTATGTGAGACCAAAAAAAGAAGTTAAACATGCATTATTGAGTCATTGATGAAATGAAGAGATATTACAAGTCTAGTTACATAGACAATTACAGTCTTACAATTGTGTAAAATAATCATGGTTTTTGTACTTCGAGAGGAAGCTCTCTTTATTGGTTTGGCTTGGTATCTTCATCCAAAGGAAATGTCAATCAGGATGGTTTAGCCATGTGAGATATAGATCAATATATAATACTTATAAAAAAAAGATATAGATCAATATAAACAATTGACAATATAATCATTTGTGCAAGTTAGATGTTCTAAAATAGCAAGAAGAATGCCCAAATGATAACAATAAAACCCCATATTCTGGCAGTGAGGCATGATTAAGTAGTTCATTCTTTGATGGAGTGCAAGGTAATTAGATACAGAATGAATGAACAATATTTGATGAAGCCAACCGGTTCAGGGGGGGCGGTTTAGGGCTCCTCCACCCCCTGAACTGGTCAGACCCCCAATACACCCACTGTAGGGGCGTATCGGAGGGGTCCCGGAACGATACGTATCGGCCAATACGGGCCGATACGTGTCACTACTTTGAACCTTGGATAAAACCAAGATGGTGTGATGACGTTAAGATGATAGTACTGCTCAGCAAGTGGCAACAAATTTACTTGAATGCAAACAATGTAAAGGCAATACATATTTGATGGAAGAGGAACCAATTATAACAAGCGAGATAAAAAACTAAGTTATTATCCCAAGACAGAAGCATATGAACTAAGGGCTCAGTTTGGAAGGAGATGAAATACAAATATGTTGGGTGTAAAACCTTGTATTTTGTATGTATTTGCACTGTACATATTTGTATTTGTACTCTTTCCAAACTGAGCCAAAAGAATTGATCAACATTAAGGAGAAGCAAAACATGCCCTTCATGCTTCAAATCTCTTTAACCAACCTATTAGTTGAAGCCACGATAACAACTTGTGGGCAAGATGCTGAGGGTTTGTTGGCATCCATCAATGCAAAAAGCTGAGATGCAATACGTACATCTTGCTCTCTCCTGCATTAGAATAATGTTTTACATCAAAACTTTCATTACTGTTTCCTGTATTTCTTTTTTTGCAACAACTAAATCAACATGTTTCACAATTAGCTAGGTATGTTTGTGGGATTACCATACTAATGAAAGATACTATACTTATTGATACAACACCAGATATCAGGGATCTACATTATGTATGAATTACATCATAGACACTTCTAAAATATATAAATGGTATGTTTTAACAAATCAGAATATAAAAAATGGGCAGATCTTAGAACATTAATTAAATTTGGCAAGATATAAATATTGGGAAATGATAACCAACTTTAAAAAAAAAAAAGGATTAACATAAGAGCATGGTATAAACTTGTATCCAAACCCAACTACCCGTGTCCTGGATCTTAAGAAATGGAGTCTCGGAAAGTCATATTCTCATTTCCCTTAATCTATCTACATGTCCATATCTAGTTATCTTAGAGCCTAACTTTCTTGGATAAGTTTATTAAAAGTAAAAGCCAGGAATAGCAAAAGGCTGAGAAAAAATAGCTTAGAGAATATGTTCTATTATAATCTAATCTKCACTTGAATTCTGTTAGAATAAGGATTGGAGAAGTAATAGAAAGACTAGAAGAACAAGAAGAAGAAGAAGAAGAAGAAGAAGAAGAAGAAGAAGAAGAAGAAGATGAGAAGAGAATAGAGAAGAAGAAGAATTTTGGTTCGAACAAGAGAGCAGAATTACTCTCTAGTCGGCCAGGTTTAATTTATATGTTTCTATTCAAAAACAAAAAGACTCCTTTGCCCCTACTTAAGTATGGGACACAACCACTAATAAAACATTACACATCAGCAGCTTTAAACATAAATATAAAGACCAAAATACCCCTAAATAGTCGACATTAACACTCCCCCTCAAGCTGGTGAGTATATATCATATAGTCCCAGCTTGTTACATATGTAGTCCACTCTCCCCCGACTCAACCCTTTGGTAAACAGGTCTGCCCATTGGTTTTCTGTGTTAACATGTGAGTATCTATCACCACTCAACACCTTCTCTCTCACAAAGTGACAGTCAACTTCTACATGCTTGGTTCTCTCATGAAACACTGGATTAGAAGAGATGTTGACTGCAGCCTGATTGTCACAACAAAGCTTCATTGGAGTGTCAATAGAATATCCCATCTCCTGTAGAAGGTTTCTCAGCCACACTAATTCACAAGTAGTATGTGCCATAGCTCTATATTCTGCTTCTACACTGCTTCTTGCCACAATTGTCTGTTTCTTACTTTTCCATGTGACCATATTACCCCCAAGGAAAGTACAATAGCCTGTAGTGGACCTCCTGTCAGATATAGAGCCAGCCCAATCAGCATCAGTATATCCCTCTATTTGAAGTTTTCCTCCACTTCTATATATCAAGCCACGATCAGGAGCCCCCTTTAAATACCTTACAATCCTTAGAACTGCATCCCAATGTGGAACCCGAGGTTTCTGCATGAACTGACACACCACACTAACTGCAAATGAAATATCTGGCCGAGTAATGGTTAGGTAGTTTAGTTTACCCACCAATCGCCTGTACTTTCCAGGATCTTCAAACTCTTCACCCATATCACTACTAAGCTTAGTATTTGATTCCATAGGTGTTTCAGTTGGTTTGGCGCCTAATAATCCTATTTCTTCCAACAAATCAAGAACACATTTCCTCTTACACAAATTAATACCATGCTTAGACCTTGCTACTTCTATCCCCAAGAAGTACTTTAGTTTACCAAGGTCCTTTGTCTGAAAGTGTTCCTGCAAAAAGATCTTCAACCTATCAATTCCCAATCTATCACTCCCAGTAATGACAATATCATCTACATATACAATCAATAAGATCTTTCCAGCCTGAGAGTCATGACTGAAGATCTTCCCCTGAGCACGGGGAGACTGTTTAAGTCCATAAATGGCCTTCTTTAGTTTGCACACCTTACGATCCTCCCCCTGAGCAACAAACCCTGGCGGTTGCTCCATATAGACTTCCTCAAGTAGATCACCATGTAAGAAAGCATTCTTGATGTCAAGCTGAAAGAGAGGCCAATCGTACATAGCAACTAGAGATATCACAACACGAACTGAACCAATCTTAGCAACAGGAGAAAAGGTCTCCGTGTAGTCAATACCATATGTTTGGGAATACCCTTTGGCAACCAATCTAGCTTTTAACCGCTCTACACTACCATCAGGTAAATACTTAACAGTGTATACCCACTTACAACCGACAGCCCGCTTATCAGGAGAAAGTGTGGTGAGGTCCCACGTATGATTATGAGTTAAGGCAGAGAGTTCTTCTTCCATTGCATGGTGCCACCCTGGAGAGGCAAGGGCTTCTTGGACATACGTGGGAACAACAATAGAGGATAACAAAGAGATAAACTGGCAATGGGAAGCAGAAAGGTGAGAGAGAGAAGCATAATTAGAAATAGGATGAAGAGTGCAACTGTGTTTACCTTTCCGCAAGGCAATGGGAAGATCAAGTTCAGAAACTGGGGTTGGAGATGGTGTGGGAACAACTGCCGGATTTGTCGACAGTGATGGAGCTGGAGGAGGAGTTGGTACATGTTGGCGATGTCTATACACTTGACAAATAGGTGGTCGTTCAACAGGAGGTGGCACCAGAGGCAAGGACTAGGTCATAGCTGGAACAAGTGGAATGGGATCCGCAACTAGAACTAGAAGAGGAGGAGGTGGTAAGGAAGAAGAAACATCACCTAACCCCAAGAAAAACGGGGTGGACTCAAAGAAAGTAACATCAACGCATACAAAGGACCGTCGAGAGTTAGGATTATAACACTTATACCCTTTCTGGGTCTGGGAATATCCAAGGAAGATACACTTAATGGATCGTGCATCTAAGTATCTAACTTGTCCCTTCCGGTCCTAGATTATGAACAAAACAGACACACCCAAAAACCCGAAGTAAAAGGGGAAACGGAGACAATGTAGGAAACAAAGTGGTGAAAGGAGATTGACCTTCAAGGATGGACGTGGGCATCCAGTTAATCAGAAAACAAGATGTAAATACAGCATCACTCCAAAAGGGTTTGGGTACATTCATATGATGCATAAGGGACTGAGCAGTTTCCAAAAGGTGACGGTTCTTTCTCTCAGCTACCCCATTTTGTTGTGGGGTGTAGGTACATGAAGTCTGATGGATAATGCCATGTTGTTCCAAATACTCCTGAAATGGTGTATAAAGTATTCACGGCCATTATTGAAACGGAGAATTTTAATGTGTACACCAAATTGGTTGCGAATTTCAGTATAAAATTTTTGGAAAATAGTAAGCAATCCACTCCTTTCTTTCATTAGGTAAAGCCACGTCATCGTTGAATAATCATCAACAAAAATAACAAAGTATCTATAACCATTGTATGACAATACTTTATTTGGACCCCAAACATCTGAATGAACTAAAGAAAAAGGACTCGACATACGATTAACCCTAGGACTAAAGGGAACACAATGCTTCCCCAACTAACATGACTCACAATCCAAAACAGAAAGATGACTCAACAACGGAACAAGAGACTTCAAAACTCTAAGTGATGGATGACCAAATCGACAGTGCCACTGGAGAGGAGAAAGAGATGCCTGAAGAGTTGTTGACGCACTTCCACCACCATCAAGGTAATACAGTCCACTAACTTCATGCCCTCCACCAATCTTCATCCCCGTCTTGAGATCCTGAAAAACACACGAAGAAGGGTAAAAAGTGATAGAGCAATTAAGAGACTTGGTCAACTTACTAACAAACATAAGGTTAAAAGGAAACTTGAGGACATACAAAACTGAGAATAAAGATAAAGGGTCTATGTTAACATTACCAACACCACAAATGGAGGATGTGGAACCATTAGCAAGGTAACAGAGTGTGATGTTGGGCACTGAGAGAGGGAGGAAAACACACCTGGTGTTCCAGTCATGTGATCGGAGGCTCCAGAGTCAATAATCCAGGGATTGGGTTTGGATGTCAGACAAGCCATACTGAGTGTGCAAGAGTGGTTGTATTCTGTTGAGATGTGGGCTGAACAAACCTCTCACACTCATCACGTGGAACACTCATCATCTCCTTCCCGGGAACATCTGTGGAAATAGAGGGCATCTGATCAGCTAAATGGCTCTCTTGTCTAGAACTATTATCACTGGTCACCGCATGCTTTGCCCAAGTTGAAGGTGGACCATGCAAATCATAACAATAATTGATGGTATGTCCATCCATACCACAGTGTACATATTCTTGGACCAAAATTGCGTCCTTTACCATGAACTCCCCCTGAATCTCGACCTCCAGTACATCCACCACTATGACTATACATACGACTATACATAGGTCCACCACCACCACTACGACCATACGCCGGTCCACTGCTGCCACTATGGCCAGATTGAGCTCCCCGAGCTCCACCTCTAACACCACGGCCTCTTGAGACTGCAAAGGCTGACCTATCAGAGATACTAGAATTCTTGGTAGATTCAATAGAAATCCTCCGAAGCTGAGCAAACACCTCTTCTAAGGAAGGAAGAGCTAATCCTCCTAGTATTTGTGCCCATACTAGTTCATATTCAGATTTCACTCAGCTCATTGCGAAGGTTTCTCATTCTAGCATATTACTCCTTAAGACTCTGATTACCCTGTTACAAATTAAAGTATTCCTGATAAAGTTGATATACTCTAGTTGTGTTATCTTGTCCCGAATACAATTTCTTAGCATGGTCCCGAACTTCCTTGGCTGTATCAAGAAACATGAAATTCATACTAATCTTGGGTTCCATACTATTCCATAACCAAGTTATAATCTGTGCATCTTCTTGTTCCCAATCACCATACTCATGAGACTCAGTAAAGGGTTTTTCTTCCCTTATATGCTTCACTTTCTTCTTTGCTTTAAGAAAGACTTCTACAGATTTCGCCCAAGCCACATAGTTTTCTCCATTCAACTTGATAGAAGTCATTTGAACATTCAGGAAGTCAGTGGGAACCATCACACTAGTTTTACTTTCACTGTTGTCTCCCATGGCTAGAAAAAAAAAATTCTTATTTCACCTCTCACCACACAGCAGTCAGCACCACTTGTTGTTGAATTCTTCACTCTCCACACCACAACCCTACTACACGACTACTTGAAAACTCACTACACTACTCGAAACTCACTCACCCTTCGAACTACACTGAAATCTGCACAAACCCTAATCACCAGAAAATCAAGCTGCACTCGACACTCCACTGCATCACTCGAATCAGCCCTCTTCTCTCCATCGATTAGGGGGGGCTTCCTACAAACCACTGCAAACACCCACGAACTTGCTGACCGAAGGCATAGAAACCTCCAAGGGAAGAGGGCAATCACTCCTTCTCAGCCCCTTTCCTTATCTCCAACTAATGACGAAGAAAAAATTAAAAAACCTAGGCTGGATGCGTGAAAATCAGAATTCTGGGCAGATTCGATTTTGTCACAGTTGCTCGGATACCATATTATAATCTAATCTGCACTTGAATTCTATTAGAATAAGGATTGGAGAAGTAATAGAAAGACTAGAAGAAGAAGTAGGAGAAGAAGAGAAGAGAAGAGAGAAGAAGAAGAAGAATTCTGGTTCGAATAAGAGAGCAAAATTACTCTTTAGTCGGCCAGGTTTAATTTATATGTTTCTATTCAAAAACAAAAAGACTCCTTTGCCCCTACTTAAGTATGGAACACAACCACTAATAAAACATTACACATCAGCAGCTTTAAACATAAATATAAAGACCAAAATACCCCTACACAGTCGACATTAACATGTTCAAATCACCTACTTCAGCTCAGAAATTCAATTCTGCGCAAGCACTTCAAAAGGCATGTTTATTGGAGAGAAATAAAAAGAAACAAATTCAGCATGATTCACAGTCTTTCATGCACATGTCATGTTTTGCAAGCTCCAAACCAGGGCTTTCCTGATGCTTGACCCATAGTGCCAGAGGCATCTATTACTCCATATGGACTGAAAATTAAACAAAGTACCATTTGTTTCTACTGGTTATCACTTATCAAATAATTCCAATCTTCTAACAACACTAGTGTCCTTTTTCCTTAATTGTTTAGTTAGTACCTACTAGAGTAGAATGTACTAACATTATGGCCCTGTTATCAAAATCCTTATATTGCATCTACCCCAGGATTTCCAAACAAGCAAATATCCAGCTTCATGTTATCTTTCCAAACAAGCAGACAAGCAAATTTCCAAACGAGTGATTTAGATGGCCATCTCTGTATGTGACCAAACCACATTAGTCTACATTCCCTCATTTTATCACCTATTGGAGCTACCCCTAGGTTCCTTTGAATGAGTTCATTTCTTCCGGTTAATCCATCTCCCTTGAATTTTGTGTTACAATTTGATCAAGACCTACTTGGATATCTCTCTTAAAATAGCCTGAAAATGCCCTGATACAACTAAAAAAATGAATAAGTTTTTAAGGATGTTGTGGACTCCTTGATGGCTGAAGTTGAAGTTGGATAGATTAAGATTGCCATGCCCTTGAATATTTTATTATTTAATCATTTTATCCACTAAAAGACAAAGCAATAAATCGTTCAGTTCAGCAACTTCAGCCGTTATCAAAGAACACCTTAGTGATGTCCGTTTAATTACTTGAATGTGAACTCTGGATATCTAAAGAAGGGGCTTATGCTGTCAACTGTTGATCCAACAGATACTAATTGCAACTTGCAATCCCAAATGTGACAAAACATGATTGTGGGACAATCCCTACAATCTTATACATTGCATTTCTTTTATCAGATTCTAGGATCCCCAAATCCTGTTGTAACACCAATTAAATCAAGGAGTAGATTACATCAAAAAGCCAAGTTATAAATTTATGAAAAAAAGCCGAGTTAGAGCTCTTGTGGGAGGATGGTTGCAGTGTAGGCTGCATTCTTCTGTTGTAATCTTCCCTCAAGTTTTCCAATTTAATGAAATTCATGGTTATTGATCAAAACCAAAGTTGATATTTCAGGTATCATCCAGTTAGAATAAGTGATTTGTTATGGGTGGAAGGGGTTAGAAGAGCCAGGGGTGGACCAGAAAGGGCATGGGTAGTAGTAAGAAATTATTTAAGCACTAATAATTTAACAGTGGATATGGTTTTAAACTCATGTAGCCGACCCATATAGTTGGGAAAAGGCATGGATGATAATGATGATGACATTTCAGGTATCGAAAATCGATCAAACTATAATTTTGGGATTATTGGTGAATCAGTGATATACCTTGAATTACGATGAGGACAGAGTGCATCGATTTCATCAATGAAGATAACTGATGGCTTGCCTGTTGATGAATAAGACAATGCTTCTGAAAAAGCCTCTCGCAGAATTTTCTCACTTTCTCCAACATGTGCTCTGTGAACAGAATGTGGACTGCAGAGATAACCCACGTGGTGGAATTAAAATCAATAAAATAACAGCAAACAATTTGAGTGACTGCGTAGAAAGATTCTTACAGCTTTAAGTGGAATTATGAAAATGTGCAAAATCAATAGAACTACCAATTCACTAGCCATATTATAATCATAATCGCCAAGATAATAAATACACCACTGGCGTCTTTAGGAACTAAAGTGTTCAGTCGTACCTAATAACAGTCAAGTGAGCATCGCATTCTCGAACAACGGCCCGAACCAAGCTTGTCTGAGAAACAACAAAGTCCAGAAATTTGCTCCATAAATCTTAACAAATACTGCAAGGCGCAATGCGTATTCAAATCACAGGAACAAAAGAGCAACTATTAACAGTAGCAAAATTAAAATGTTTTAGACCAAGAAATCAAAACGAAGCTAAGTCGGATACCTTTCCTGTGCCTGGGGGACCGTACAATAACAATCCCGTGCGCCACTGCAGAAAAACCCAAAGAGTTACAGCTCAAGAACGTACTTCAACCTAGAGAGAGAGAGAGAGATTACCTTGAGTCCAAGCTTTCGAGACTCTCTCGAATAGTGAAAAGGGAAAGCTATGAGTTCCCTAAGAGCTTCAAGAGCTTCAGCGTTGCCAGCGACTACTTCCTCTGCCCTCCACTGACCGCTGCTCCCGCTACTACTCTCCATCTAAATTAGAAACCCTAATACTGAAAATTCCTATTCGGAAGATTTGAAGTATCAAATTGTTAATCCCCCGAACTCGTCAAATTCAATATTTTTGAAAAAGAAAAAGGCGCAAATATTTCTACGTTGCGATGGAGCAGGTTGCCGCGGTAGCCATTAATGGGACTTTTTGCTGTAAAACAAATCGATCCGTTTATTTTTGGATCGAATATGGATGTTAAGGGGGAATGGACCGGTTTTGGATTGACGGGTTGGACGGATGAACAAGACATATTGGATTGGACCAATCTAGTCCAAAATGTTTATTAGATTGAATTGGATCCCGTCCATCTATAATAAATTTATATTAGATTGGATTAGATTAAGTCAATATCTAATCCATTGAATAAGATAAGAAATAGGTATTAATAAATCAGATTTGGATTGAAATCAAAACGAATTTGAACAGATGGAACGGTTCAAACACTGAATTGAACTTGTTGAAGATAGTCCAAAATATTCATGGATTGGATTGGACCTGATCCATTTGTAATGGACTCACATTGGACCAAATTCAGTCCACTTGACACCCCTATGTGTATGATCCTATTCGGGCTCGCTCTCTCTATACTGTATCTATTAATGAACCGAAATGAATTTGGTTTTTGATGCAGACGATGCCTAAAAATCCCTATATTAGAATTTGCAAATGACTATTTAATTTTTGCAAAACCAAACTTAAAAGCATTATAAAAAAGACATTCCAAGTAAATAGACTATTACTTTTGGACAAAAACCAAAACTTAGAAAATCATCCACGAGCTCCTAGAAAAATGTGCCAATGAGATTTTTTGAGGCTACTGACTCCAAAGAATCTCATGAACAAATAGGAAAAAGAAATACTTAGGTGAAGGAGCTTTTAATATAAACCCAAACTGCCCATTTTGCAGGGACTAGGGAGGAGGAAGACTGGGATCACATTATTTTAAATTGTCAAATAGCAACCCAGCAGGTATGGCGTCGGATGGATACCCACGATATCCATAATGGGTCCTCAATGGGATTTGATAAATTGGTGGCATCAAATGCTTGAAGAAAAATTAGAGAGCAAGATTGGTGGGTTTGGGAGAAAATAGCTTTTGTTTTCTGATTCATGTGGAAAATTAGAAAATGATGAAATTTTTAACAAAAGATTTTCCCCCCAGCCAGAAATTAATTTTAACAAAAGACCCCACTTAAACCTAATACCATCAAAATTAATTTTGATGCACCAGCCAGAAAAAGAGAATTGTGTGTACAGTTGCAATGTGAGAAATCATAGAGAAGAGACTCTCCAAGCAAAAATGGGCAAATTTGGCATCACAACCCCATTTCAATGGCTGAAATGTAGGCTGTGCTTAAGGCCCCGAGCTCACTTTATAGGTAAATAGCCTGTCTATCACCACATAAGGTGACTCCCTCCTAGTAGTTACTGCCATATAAATAACAGTACTGTTATTATAAATTACTGTAATTTAATAATTATTGATTATTACAGTAATTTAATAAATATATAATTGGTGATTATAATTAATAATTACTGTTATTATTAATAACTATATATTTACTTTAAAATTATAAAATATTGTTATTAAAAATACTGTTAATAAATTACTGATTATTATAGTAATTTAATAAATATATAATTATTGATTATAATTAATAATTACTGTTATTATAAATATTGTTAATAAATAGATATTTACTTTAATTTTAATTTTAATTAAAATTATAAATATTGTTATTAATAAATACTGTTAATAAATTTAGTAATTATTGTTATATTAAAAATAATTAAATAATACTATTAAAACTATCATTAATGATTATTTAATTAAGTAGTATAATTACTTACTATTATTGATAAGTGTTGTTAATAACATTCTGACAACCGACGGTTCGACCGTCTAGTTCGAATGTGATGAAGGGAAATTTGGCCCGACCTCGCGTTCGCCCGACGCGTGGCAAAGGCAAGCAGCTCGGGACAGTAGAGCACCCAAAGCGAACATCAGAAGCAAGTCAAAACTCACTACCGAACTCCAACTCCAGATCGTTGTGTTTAGTCCGAGCTCCTTGTTCAACCCGAACTCCCTAAGTCCTAGCTCGGTACCAGGAGCCCGAGCTCCCTAAAGAACCCGAGCTAAAGGACCCGAACTCCCTAAAGAACCCGAGCTAAAGGACCCGAACTCCCTAAAGAACCTAGACCTCCCAAGTCCAAGCTCCCTACTAGGAGCCCGAGCTCCCTGATAAGAGCGAGC